ATATAAAGGTTATGTGTTGCTGGCATCCCTGTAGTTACAATGAATGTATAAAAAGTTTACTCTGGCCTATCCCAGTAATACAAACCTTTTGCCCTCTGAGGAGGCGTTAACGTATAACCTCTATACTACTTAAGAAAAAGAAAAAAAAAGAAAAAATAGAATAAACAGCCTTATCCCAGGGACTGCCTCACACAAACTAACTCCAAGTGTGATATCACCATGATCCTATTTGTCATATATCCCTCTTAATAACTGAAATAACACACTATCTGATGCACTGTGCATGCATATCCTCAACAATTAACTAAATAAGAGTGCCACTTTTAAGTGATGCCACAACACTTGGTAACTCTTGGATGATACCAGTTATTTTAACAATGCCCTCTCTCAGCAGGTTATTGTAATATCTAAACTGATTGACAAAAATTTATTCATTCCACTATTTCAACTGCTGAGTGAGTTCTAAATGCCCCAATGTGGCCATTTTGAAAGTAACTTTGTGAAAATAGGTTTAGAAAACGGACTGCAAAAACAAGAAGAATATGTATGAGTGACATGTTTTATTTACAACACAAATGCTTTCATGGTATTGCTATGTTTGATCTCTTCCTTTAAGTTTATAGGCATACACTGAATGGTGAACTACTCAATAGAGATCCCTCAGCACATCCATAATTTGAGAATAATTGTTTTAACTAATGCCAAGACATCACAGAGCCACACGTACAGTCTTTGGTTACAGAAAAATATATAAGGAATGTTTTTGACAGCATGTACGGGTAATTGACAAACGGTCACGGGCTACTTTGTTAACATTTGAAGCCCTTGTACATAATATTTGCAGCTTTTTGACTCATTCTGCTGAAATGTACGTTACATAAATCTATCGACCCACATTTGAAAGGTACCTCTGCATCGAAGAATCTAAGTCAGTCTTCATTAAAAAAACGTTTCTTTTACGTCTGTTTTAAGATCATCATGCTCGTATATTAACACATCACTGCAAATGAAAGTTAACCAGGGAATGTGAAATGCTCTTCACACTTTTTCTCTTCCTGGAGAATTTTCACAAAATATGAAAAAGTTTTCCACACTGGGGAAACATATTCATGCCTTTCAACACAAGTGTGAAAAGATTCCACAGAAGTGGGAAAAAATGTCAACACATTTTCACAAAAGGTTTTACGCCTTTTCACAAGAAAACACTTTCAATGGAGTTGGAAAATATTTCATGCCTTCCAACAGGTGAGAAAACACTGTCATGCCTTTCCAAATGAGCAAAACCCTTTCACACCTTGTAAAATGGAAATGTGAATGTCAACAAGAATTTTTTTTCCATTCACAGTGAACAGTTTCACTGTATTGTACTGTACGTAAATATCACATGCATATCACTATCCTTGCGAACATAGGTGACTTTTCATTTTGTATTACTCCAGTTTCTCAGCATGAACGGTAACAGTCTAGTACACTTTCTAGTACAGCCTTGTGTTCCCCAGGCTGGTAACATTGGAAGCCAGCTTTATCTCACACTGGGGACTCAATTGTTTATTTAAATCTCTTCGTTGAAATCACGATTTGTTTGATTTTCTAACAAACCATAAAAATAAAGAGAAAACTAAAACACAAATGTGTACAGTTAAGTTTGCTTACTTAGAAATAGATAATTATGCTGACTTGCCTTCAATTTAAAACAATCATTTAAGAATCTGATTTGATTAAAAAAACTGATTTGAATTCCATATATCAGATTTTTTTCTAAAAAAAAAGAAACCAACTAAGGTAGGCCTTTACAAACATTCTTTTGGATACACTGGCTGACCCATCATCATCTTTTTTTTTTAGTAAATCTAGCCATTACTACTTTAGGATCCTGCAGGACTAGAATTGGGATTTTTTTATTTTGATAATTGTATCAACATGGGAAGCTTTGAAGTGGATACTTTTTTGATCATAAACTTTTAAAAATAAGACTTCATATTGCCAAGCATATGACATGCCTAGAATTTCTGTGTCCAAATCAAACAAAGGTAAAAATGGCAATACATTGACCTGCAGTGTAAGGCTTAGGGAACCTGAATACATGTACATGCATATCTTGAAAACTCACAAGATGAATTTGACAGTAAAATCCTCCTCCACGTAGAGTGGGTCGAGCATCCTAGTGATACTTACCTCTGCCCAGCCTACAAATGCAACTTTCCCATGTGCCTATTACAATTCGCTGAAAAAGACTTGATTATGCATACTGCCCCTTGACCCTCCACCATGCACTGCGGTCCCGCCGCCATGTTTGTCCTTCTTTTCGAAGCAGTGAAAGCCACCGGAGCTAAAGGGGGAAGGATGTGGGGGCGGGGAGGAGTGGCTGGGCAGGGGAAGTATCACTAGGAGACCCGGCCCACTCCACGTGGGGGAGGAGTCTCCTGCATTCACATAACCCTGCCCAGCCTACATATGCAGAATGGCACCATACCCTGGAGGTGGGTTGGCAATGGGAGTATAATTACTAAGAGAGGAAACAAAGTGGGTGTCGCAAGAGGCACTCACCAGGAGAAACTCCTAAGCTGAACTGTCCACTGCCTGGTCCGGAACAGCTTTGGATGTTGACTGGACTGCCAAGCGCAGGGTCGCTCTGCCATGGGCTGTCTTGCTCCACAGAACATCTTTCAGGTAGCACTCTGTGAAGATGATGGCCGAGACGGTCCATTGGGCAATAGTGTCCTTTGACGTAGGGTGGAAAGGTTTTGTCGTGGTGAGGAAAAGCTGGGAATTGGACGCACGGCGATGCTTGGTCCTAGAAAGGTACCATTTGAGAGTCCGGACCGAACACCACCTCTTGTCAGCATCGTCTCCCAAAAGTAAGGTTATATCAGGGACGAATATGTCCGGAGGCTGGAAGGTAGGTGTCTAGTTTTCAGGAACCCGATGGTTGAGATGAGATGAACCCCGTGTGGCTCCCAACAGATGTGACCCTCGGCAATCGATAGGGCATGAAGCTCGCTACCTTGTCTCAACTAATAGCTGCGAGGAGGAATGCCAACTTGATGCTGAGATGCAGGTCAGACGCATCAAGCAGTGGTTTGAAGGGGGGACCGGCAAGAATGCTTCCGAGGTCCCAGGATAAGACAAGGCATTTAACGTGAGGACACTCAACAAACAACCCTCAAAGGAGATGATGGATAGCAGAATTAACAGAGACATGAAGCCTGAGTGGACAGCCACCAAGGCCAACTGGTAGTTACAGATGGTGGCAGCCTGGAGGCCCGAGTAGAACAGATACATGAAGAAGTCAGTGATGGAACTCACAATAGCTTTGGTTAGAGAAACATTGTGGTTGTCTCACCATCTAGAAAATGTTGTAGTCAGCTGTTGTAAATCTTACGAATGGACAGCCGGGGCCGCCATAGACGCAGTGTCTGCTGAAAGGCCTGATGCCCTGAAGGATCATTGGACAACGTCCAGCATGTCAAGTGAAGACTCTCCCGTGTTGGGTGATGGATCCCTGACTTGGGCTGATGGAGGATGTCCTCTCTGACTAGAAGGACGAGCAGCTGTCCTACCAAGAGTCTTGTCAGTCTTGGAAACCACGGTTGGCGAGGCTAGAATGGGGCAACGAGGAGAATCCCTGACTTGGGCTGATGGAGGATGTCCTCTCTTACCAGAAGGACCAGCAGTCGTCGTACCTGGAGTCTTGCCAGTCTTGGACACCATGATTCGGGAGGCTAGACTGGGGCGACGAGGAGGATCTGACATGGCTCCCGTTCTATCTTAGACAGGACCCGCAGAATGAGGGAGATTGGAGGGAAGGCATATGCCAGAAGGCCCGACCAGTCGATATGTAGGGCATCTGTCGCCCACGCCTGCGAATGAGGGAACCTGGAGTAGAACATCGGAAGGTCGGCGTTGTCAATGGATGTGAAGAGGTTGATATGAGGACACTCGATCTCTGCAACATCTGGCTGACAACGTTCGGATGAAGCGTCCACTCTGTCAGTTGGACAGTGCCCTGAGAGAGTACGTCTGCTATGCTTCAGCTGGTTCCCGCTATGTGCACAGCTTGAAGGCTGATCCCCTGATAGCTTATCCACTTGAGGAGCTAACACACAAGGGCACAGATTTGAGGAGAGTGCGTGTCCTGGCTATTGATGTACGCCACTGTCATTGAGTTGTTGCTTTGGACTCGAACGGAACAACCTACTAAGTGCTGTCAGAAATGACAAAGTGCGATGAACACCGCTTGGAGTTCTAACACACTGATATGTTTGCCTCTAGAGGCGGAGTTCCAGACCCTGGAGGCGCTGAGAGGAAGAAGAGAGGCTCCCCATCCAAACAGTGACACGTCCATCTTCATGGTCACATCCAAACTTAGAGGGGCCAAAGGAAGGCTGGCCGACAGGTACTCTGAGATGGTCCACCATCAAACGTGACTGCAGATGTCCGATGGAAGAGGGACCGGGGTACCAATTGGGTCGCTCTTGGGATGGTACTGAGATAGGAGATGCAGTTGAAGTGGCTGCATCCTCAGTTGACACCAGAGGACGAGGTCGACCAGGCTAGCTTTTAAGCCGAGGAGACGGAGCCAAGCTCATGCTGGAGGAGCCTCAGACAATAGAAATTGGAGGGCACACTGATGCAGATTGAGGATGAACTCTGGTGTCAGAGTTGCAATGCCTTTGCGGAGGTTGAGAACTGCTCCATTGAAGGTAAGAGAAGTGCAGGCCTTGGTGTC